GTGACGCCTGAAACCCGGTGCGCGGGGCCCCGCGCCTGCCGTAGGTTGCAGGTGTACTAACCTTACGCTATTTTTTTATTTTATGAAACTCTGTATGACGGGAATTTGACTGGGAGCAGCTCCTTACCGGGGATGTGTCGGACCCCTACGGGGAAGGGCTAGTTGTGCGTTGTCAGCTCCTTTTTGGCTGTCTTTGTTTTTAGTTTTCCCTTACCGTCAATAAAAATTCTACTTTTGGGAAGCTGCCCGCATGCCACATGTCCGTGCTTCCTGCGGTGACCCTGTGGCTGCCGCAAGGACTTTGCACCCATTAGCAGTGCTCAGGAGGGTGCGATGTCTCGCTACAACCTTGGTATTTCCCCCCTGGGCTCTTGTGGACTGTTTATTTCAGGGATTAGGGATTGCACCGCACGCTCCTCTGGGAACAGCGGGGTCTGCACAGGGCAGCTCTGCTCTCCGGGCCTCGGTGCTGTCGTGATCTCCCAAGGCTGTGTCATGGCAAAACAGGGGACAGCGCTCGGCTCCTGTCGCACCAGCTTTTTCCGATTCTGGAATTTGGTGCTGGTGCGGGAAGGTCTTTCTACCGGCCTCGCCGAGCAGGAGAGGGGACACTCCTCACTCGGAAGCGCTTTGCAGGAGCTGGTGGTAACGCCCCATCTCTGGGTGCTGCCCTCAAACTCTTCGCTACAGGAGCCCAGTTATCAGCCAGGGGAACAAGTCGGGCTGCGATCACCATCCCCTGGGCAGGGACACGGGCAGCTTGCCCTGCCCCTGCCTCTCCCCAGGCAGCGTCTGCCTTTGTCCCAGGGCTGGAAAAGCTTCTATTGTCCCACTCCAAAGAACTCTTGTACAGCGTTTGAGGAGCCTCCGGGGAGGGACAAGGCCACCCCACTCCTCCCAAAGCAGCCCCTGCTGCTCGCTGCCATTGCTGGGGGCTGGGGAAGGAGTCGGTGCTTCTCCCAGCCTGGGAAAAGGCAGCGGGTTAAGCAGAGGAGGGAGCTGGGATGGTGCAATTCATTAACTGGTCGTCCGGAGAAATACACCCCTGGGGAGCTGGAGCTCAACCCTCTGTAGCAGGGGAGCTAAAATCGGGGCTCTGCCCCGTGCTGGCGTGGGGACAGGAGCTGTGCCCCCAGCCAGAGCAGCGACTCGCTGTCCCTGGTGCCCAGGAAAATGACATGAGACGGGTGGGAGCGGTGAGGAACAGCTCAAACCCACTCAATACCCACCCGGCTCCAGGTGCTTCCCCTCCCGCCGCCCCGCAAGTGGGATCAGCCCCGGGATTTCCCCTGGATGCTGCCCCCGGTGCGATCCCTTCTCCCCACGGAGATGGGGCCAAGGCTGCGCCATCTGCTCGAGCGACCAACTTTATTTCACAGCCAAGACCCGCAAGGGGGGAGTCAGGGCTCTCGTGCAGGCTCTGCCTCAGCTTTGCTTTTCAGCCTCTTCTTTCTGTTTCTCTCCTTCCTCCTTCTCTTCCCGCTGGCAGTAGGGACTGGGGATGGGGGGGCCGGGGACGACTCCCTGCCCAAGCCCTCCCGCGCCGGGGCATCACTCAGGACGGTGTTGGCTGCTTTCCCCAAGTCCGGCAGTGGGGCCTGTGTGTCCTGCCCAGTGAGGGCAGCGGCTGCGGAACGGCTCGGCTCCCCGTTTTGGGAAGGGCCTTTCTTTTTCAAACCTTTCCCCTTCTTTTTCTTGTCTTTCTTCTTCCCCTTCCTCTCTTTCTTGGCTGCCTTTGGGGGGGACAGCGGGTGGGCGGGCACGTGATGCTCCACTGGGACGGCTCCTCCGCCCCCGCTGCTCCACGGGAGGCTCAGAGGGACCCCCCCGGGCCTCGCTGCCCGGTCAATGAGCTCCCCGCCGAACTCGTACAGCACCGGCTCCCTGGGCACCGCGATGGCCACAGTGTTGTACGCCTTGCACCTGCAGAGCGGGCGGAGGCATTGAGGCGAGCCCCAGTGGGGCCGAGCGGGGGGACGGTCCCTGCAGCGGGGGGCACTCACCACACATAGAGGTAGGGCTCCACGCACTCCTCCTTGTAGGTGAACTCGAAGCAGGGCACCTGGATGACGTTGAAGAAGGCCTGGCCCACCACCCGTGAGGCCGTGTCATTCACCCGCCGCAGGCACTCCTTCGCCGCGGGGCAGAGCCGTGGTGAGGGGGGGCAGGAGGGGCTGCCGGAGGGGCTGGGACCCCCCGGGATGGAGGGATGCTGCAGGGCACGGCCGGGCGTGGGGCCACTCACCTGCGGTCGCAGTCGCAGTGGCTGATGGTGTGCCAGCGCAGGTTGCGGTACCCGTAGCGGGCGGTGAAGGGGTGGATGACATGCTGGCAGTGGTCATGGTCCCGGCAGCACCAGTCCGTGTCCCGGTGCTCCCCTGCAGGGATGCACAGGATGCAAGCAGGGCTGGGGGGGGCCTGCACGCATGGGCTGGGGGTAGGTGGGCTTGGGATCAGGGCTGGACTGGGGCTGAGCTGGGCTAGGACTGGGATCAGAATTAGATTGGACTGAGACAGGACTGGAATCATGCTGGGCTGGGTTGGGGCTGGGACTGAACCGGCACTTGGATGGGGCCGAGGCTGGCACAGGGATGGGGACTGGGGCTGCACCAGCACCACACTGGGGATGAGACTGGGTCTAGGCTGGGATTAGGATGGGGACCAGGACTGGACCAGGTTGGACCAGCACTGGGATGGGGACCAGAATGGGAGCAGGATGGACCAGGGATCAGGCTGGGGACAGAGGGTGGACCAGGATGGACCAGCACCAGGATGGGGACTAGACAGAGGTGAACTGGGACTGGACTGGCACTGGGGTGGGGACTGAACTGGGACAGGCAGGGATTGAACTAGCACGGGGATGGGGACTCGAGTGGACGAGCACTGGGATGGGACTGGGCTAGGATTGACGGGGACTGACCCAGCACTGGGACGGGAACTGGGACTGGGCTGGGGTGGAGCAGCACCGGGCTGGGGATGGGATGGGATGGGA